CATGCAGCACTAGTGGTAAGTGATCGTCAGTGTTGGGCAGTAGCATCACTACAATAGCGGACATTTGTAGTTTAACTACATTTCTCAGTAGCTTGGTGGTAGCGTCACTGTTTTCTGAATCAAGTAACTTCTCAGTAGTTAAGCTCTTTTATTGATTACTTAGCTCGGTAGCGTCCACACAAGCTACATTTCCAAAATCATTTCTTAAGCTCAAACGAGCAGAAAATTTCTGTTATGGACTGAAATAAAACTGTCACCACTACCACACAGAGTCACTTCCACATAAACCTGACAGGGGACAGCCCTCCATTCCGAAACTCCGCCGTTCCGAACAACCCCCACTCTGAAATTGATTTTCAAGTCCATATCGAGTTTCCTGCATCAAACACTGCCGCCCGCTCTCCGGCCGCACTCGCACAATTCTGAAAATCGTTGTACTACAAAAGCTTGAAATGAACGTTCAACTCATTGTTTTTTACTGAAAATATGTCACTGTCTTCATTTATTATGTATAGTTTCGCTAGCAGCAAACACATTTAAAAGGAGACGCTTGTCAAGTCTTTTACACGCGCTGTCCGTGGTGCTGAAATCCCCACTGTAGCCACCGCTCCTGCTGACAGCAGACTGGGGGAGAAAAAAAAAGGACATTTCTTTGCTCTGTGCTTTCAGAAAATACCCAGGGTTACGCCAGGGCCACACCGGATGCGGAAGTGCTGCGAATAGCCTCAAAGCGCCGAGAAACGAAGCCAGTTTCCTTTCGGCGCCCATGTTAACCAATTGTGTCATCCACAGCGACTGTTTCGGCGTCTGGTCTATTTTCTTTTTTCTTTTTTTTAAGATATTTTTTGGGGCTTTTTAGCCTTTAATGGATAGGACAGACAAGCGTGAAAGGGGGAGAGAGAGAGGGAGTGACATGCAGCAAAGGGCCACAGGCTGGAGTCGAACCCGGGCCGCTGCGACAACAGCCCTGTACATGGGGCGCCTGCTCCACCACTAAGCCACCAACGCCCCGTCTGGTCTATTTTCTGCGCGAGCCACGAGCGAATGTGTCAAGCCGGGAAGGAATATAGGCTATACATATTAGTCAGTGGTATCTAAACAGAGCGTGAGAGAGATGAACACACACACACTCACACACACTCACACCCACTAACACACACACACACACACACACACACACACAAGAAAGGGAGAGAGATTGAGAGAGAGAGAGAGAGAGAGAGAGTGTGGGCTGGCTATAGGGGGTGGGGTTGGGGCACACACACGCAAACAGAGAGAGATACTCTTGATGGAAAAACAGCCCCAAATGTGACGGAGACAACAGCTGGGAGCAGAAGCGCTTGTCGACCAGCGTGGAGAAATGTGAACGGGCTCACGCGAGAATTTCGGTGCGCTGCGCGTCGCAGCACTTCATTGGCAGTGTGGCCCTGGTGTTAGGGTAAGAAAGACCAACGGTCTGTACAGCAGTCCCACTGTGTTTGCCAGGGCATATCAGGCTGTGTGATTATGCACAAAGATTGATTTAACGCATTGGAGCAAGTTCATACAATTTCGGACATTTAACATGATAAACTAATTTCAATTCAACATGGTCATTTGCTTAGAGGATTCAGCTGAAGCATAATTAATGTTATATGTAATTAAGATGAAGTATTTGCTTGTTTTGTGGTTAATTATGCACGTGATCCATTTGACTCCATCGGCAGTGGCAGCAGTGTTTGATGCAGGAAACTCGGAGAAATATGGACTTGAAAATCAATTTCGGAATGGAGGGGTTGTCCCCAATATTTGGAATAGCGGGGCCTTTAGAAAAAATGGGAAACCCTGCCATTACGAAGAATGGAGGTCTATTTTCGGAAAGGCGGGGTGTAACCACGCTGACGTGACAACGCTGGTACATGTAACGGTGCTCTGCTGCCTGTAGACGGCACACGCCACTTGATAAGAAAAGCTTTGCTTGTAATAAGAAAAAAAACTTGCTCCATGGACAGATTTTTTTCTGCTTATTTCAAGTGAAAATTTTCCTGAAACAAGTGAAAATTGTCTAAAAACAAGTTACTTTTTAGGTGATGAGTCTTATTTCAATTGTAATGAGATTTGTTTTGACTAGAAATAAATATTCTTGGTAAGATTTTGAGTTTTTGCAGTGTACATACACATACATACACGCATGTACGTTTTTGACCATGTTGTGACTGTTTGAAGCAGGTCTTCATTCTTGCTGTTGTGGTTTGAGTCGTGTTGGGAGTTAGCGCAGCTCACTGTTTTTGCCTGCCTATAGGCCAAAACACACCGGTGGCGTCATATGACAGCGGTCAAGTGCCGCCCCCAACACACACAAAAAGCGTCGCGTTGCGGGGCATTAACCAGATTTCTATTGCACACTCCAGTCCGCTAGGCTGGGAAGTACAAAATAGCGCTTTTTCAAGGGCGGCGAAGCTGGAAAAATAGGACAATAGCGTAAAGTGCGTCGAGCCGCCGCCTGTGTGGGTTTGTAAATAGAAAATAATGGGGGCGGCTGTTCTGATGCGCGTCGTATGGCGCCGGTGTGTTTTGGCCTTATCTGTTTGACTGACAGTTTTATTGATCAGTAAGATAACACTGACTTGGCACAAAGTTGGTTCAATTTAGTAAAAAGCTTGGATGTAGTTGCACTACTTACTTTCATTTTGCTGTAGCTTAGCTTGCTACATTTCTGAGGGTGATAGCTTTGATGTAGTGAAGCTTGATTTAATATTAGAGTAACTAGTAGCTTAGCTCACTACACTTTTTCTGAGCAACAAGAGGCAGAATAGGAAGACAATAAGAACGTCTGCATTAAAATGTACATTTTACATCAGTTGAGGCTTGAGGTCACAACCTTTGACATCAAGGAGCATCTTCTATCTGACTGAGCTAATTAGCAAGTGACAACCCATCTGTGGCTTCACAAATTATCTCTCACTTACTTCTACCCCCCCCCACCCCCCCACCCCCCTCTTCCTGTTTGGTACGATCCGCTCTATCCAGCTTGACAGAAGCGCTCGCGGCTCGCATGAGAAACAGACCAGACGCTGAACTGAAGCGCTGCAGTGCGCTCCGCTCTGCTCAGCGGCCTGTGTGGACAGTCAGATAGGTTAACATGGGCACCGATTGAAAACTGCCTCCGCTGCAGGGCGCTGAGCTTCGGTTCCGCGTCCGGTGTGTCCGTGGCGTGACTGAATGAGAGACTGTGAAAACTTAAGGTCCGCCCTGCTCTGCCTCTGATTGGCTAGAACTCCTTGTTTACCTTGAGTAATGTGATACACCATTGGTAGTTGGAACTATCACTTTGATTTGCTTTACAACAACTGGTTAAATGACTGTTGCTACGGCAAGATGATAAAATATTTATGAGAAAAAATATTCCTGCACCGGAAATCCGGCACCGTGCCGGAGAACTTCAAGCCCTGAGTCTGCCATGATCAGCAGTTGGCTTCTTCTCAACAAACTTGTTGTTTTGATGACGGGAGTAACTGCACTAAACATATGCTGTTAAAGGTAATGTACCTACCCATATGACTATAGGGATTACGGCCATAGGCGTATTTGCCAAAATGTCGAACTAACCCTTTAAAACTGACTAAAATTGCTCACAGCATGACATCGTAAAAGAATATAAACGTTTGTTGTTGAATGTGAAATTTTCATAAACTTAACAGTAACACAATCAAAGCATTTGAATCAATGTGAGAAACATAAAAATGAGTTTCCAATCATGTGACTTTATTACCTTAGTAAATGTCATACAGCCTTGTTAAAGAATTAACTTCCTGTTGACTGTATGGGCAGCCATGTTTGACACCCTGAAATGAGACTTCAGACTTTGATGTGTCATAAAGTTCTGACTAAATCAAAAATATGACTGCTGGATGACTGTTTTGCCCCGTTACCATCAAGATTAACAAATTCAAAAATAATCTTTAGTGGACACAGAGTTCCATCATGAACAAGGCAGATCTCAATGAGTCTAAACTGACAGCAAACTGAACCTGTGACTGCCACATATGTTTAATACATCTGTAAAGTGCAACATCACCATTTCCTCCAGTGCAGAAATATCTGTCAAAATATATCACATAGAAAAATACTCTATAGTGTCTCTTCCTCCTTGTCTGGGTCCATGTTCACACCAATGTAGAGAAATATGAAAAAAATCAAAGTTTCCAGTCCGTTTATTTTTTCACAGTGGAATGTTGGCGCAAGAAAAATGCTTTAAAATCCTGGTTTTCCTCCTCTTGTTTAACAGCAGCAAAACGAAATGGTGACATGTTTGGTCGACCAACACAGCTGGTTCTTTCTTTCTCCTTCGACACAGTTTAAATAAACGAGTTTTAGTTTTTCTGGTTTGAATATCAAAAAAAAAAAAAAAAAAACAGGAGTAAAACCTGGAAACCTTTTAAATCTGGAACACAATCTGTAGTAGAATAATTTGTTCTGGGTTTCTAGGTTTACTGTGTTGTGTTTTGTTTGTTTTCAATGTAAAATACAGATGTAGTTTTTTAAAAAAAAGTTTCAGTAAATAAGCTGGTGTGGAGGAAGGAGGAATTTCATATTTTTCCACATCAGACTGGACATTTCCTGGCTCAAAGAGGTTAGATCGTCTGTCCTGCTTGGTCACACATCAGTATGAACACTCGTCCCGCAGCCTCAGCTCTGCTGTGGTTTCTGTCCCATGTGCGTGCGAATGTGCCGTTTGTAATTTGAGTTGTCGCTGAATCTGCGGCCGCACTCGTCGCAGCAGTATGGCTTTTCCCCTGTGTGAATTCTTAAGTGTTTCTGATAACCGTCAAACCGTGTCAGTCTCTTCCCGCAAATGTCACATGTGTATGACTTGTCCACTTTGCTCTCGACCTTGCGGTGCACCTGCACGTGTTTGGCCCAGTGGCCTCGCTGAGCAAACGCACGGCCGCAAATGGTGCAAATGTACGAGTCCACTACCTCAGACAGTGATGCGTCCAGATCGACGCAGTCGCCGTTACCTGAAGCCGGATCTGCAGCTTCGGGGGCATCGTCATCCAGGTCTGAACTGGTCGGCTGGACCGAGGTGCCCGGCTGGGGGTCCAGCTCTGAGTCGCCCAGGTCCTGGAGCTTTGAGAGTGAGGAGGTCATGTGGTCATCGCCCTGCTTATTTCTTACACCGCCACTCTGGAACAACACGAACTTGACATCGTTCTGATCGGCCGTCTGAGACGTCTCTTCCGGCCACAGCTCCTCCTCCTCTTTGATGGAAGCAGGTTTCATCTCATTCAGGTCAAGACTGGCACTCCAGTCCTGCTGCTCACAGACAGCTGCTGACAACAGACAAAACAGCCAGGAAGGGTGGATCAACTAAAGCTGCTCAAATCTTTGTCAAGAAAAGCTTGAAATGTTCCAAATGTAAATGAGATCTGTGTCTTTGTTTTCTTTTTCCACCATGTGAAGGTGGAGATAATTTAATATTATAGTTGACCTCATTTCAGCAATGTCATATCTTGATGACCTGATGTTATAAAAACACAGCAGTGCTTTGACCTAAATGCTAACATCAGCAGTAGAGTATAACTTTTACTGAAGTACAATTTGGAGGTACTTTCACTTCTAGTATTTCCATTTCATGCCCCTTAAAGTTATAGTTGGTAATCCTGTTCAGAAACACTTTTTGTTATATTGGGTGAAATGGTCCTTCCACCCTGAGAGTAGTCAATACATAATGTGTTCAGAAAAAGGGATGAAAAAAATCAGACCTCTGTGGTAGCTGCAGGCCTGTAAAAACTCTGACCAATCCCTGCCATTCGGTGCGAATGGAAAGAACCAATCAGATGCCTTCATGTCTCGTATTGCCTGAGCCCCCCTCCTTCCCTCCCTCCCTCCTCCCTGCGTGCACTCATCACGTGTCACCATTGCCGGAAATATTCAGCACATTCCTCAGCAGAAATACCGAATTAGCAGGAGTTTGCTGAACAATGGCAGAGAAAATGCAGCCAAAAGTACCACTTCCAGCGTTATTTGTAACGGCTCGCCCCGCTAAACAGGCTGAGAAAGGAAAGTCAGAGGCAGAAAAGGCTGCGACGAAAAAGGCTTTCGATAAAGCGAGAGGACAAACCAGACATCAACATCCATGCAGCTTTTGAACGGTGGAGACAACTGAGGGAGCTGAAGGGCCTGAAAAGTGATGCAGAGGTTGTTGTCTTCCTGTTGGACAGGTAATTATTTGTTTGCTTCGGGGGGATTTGTTATTTTACTCGGCTCTCCTCTGCCCTGCTGACTGCAGGATGCGCGTTCAAGCTTGTGTGGGGCCATGGCTTTGGACAGCACTGACGAGTGGGGGAGGAGGGGGCGGAGCTTAGAGGAGGTGCCGCTTTCAAATGTTGCTAGCTCTCCAACATTACCAACTATAGCTTTAATACTTCAACTCAACCACATCTTGGAAGCCATTATTGTACTTTTTACTACACTACATTTATCTTACAGCTTTAGTTACTTTACAGATTCAGATTAATAATACAAAATATAATCAGTTCAGAAATGATGATGTATTTTTATACATGAAGCTACCCAGCAGTATGTGAAGTCATTAAAATGAGCTCCACTTTTACCAGCTGCAACATTAAACTGATCAACACATTAATACATCTCTATATGTATATATTGATTTAAAAATAAAAGTTGAAGATGAAATCCTGGAGCTGAAAAAAAGCCTCAGTGTTTCACTCTTATCGTGCAAACAGTTTATTTTTGGCCAAATTTTTAGGACCAACAGAAATTTGAAGATATAACAGTTTTTTGTTTTTAGAGTTTCTGGCTGTGATAAATGGTGTAATTTTAGCAATCTTTAAAGAAAACATGAAAACCTTGACAAATTAGAAGAAAACAAATTTGAGGTAATTTTTTTAGTATTTTGTTTTGTTTTTTTTAATCACTTTTCACTGCAGTGATATGTTTGATGTAAGGTATACTGTGATGTAAAAGTTGACAGTTATCATACCATGTACATTTGCTTATCTACGACACTAACAAATAAATAAATAAAAAAAGCAACTTGATGGAGAGCCTCCCCTTTATTTGAATCAAAGGGTAAAGTTTTAACACAAACTTCCATTATCATAATAGTTTCAATTATAGTAATAAAACGTTTGTTCAGCCAAAAATAACCCTTCTGTTTTCATTCCTTTAAGGCTCATTCTGACTTATAATTACATAAATTCTGAAACTACATTTTTTTTATGAGTGAATTACACACACTGCTACTTTAAATGAGACGTAGACTGATTTTAATTAAATATCACTATTTTAACCTCAGATCTGGTTATGTTTTGTTTTGTTTTTTTCTGATGGAGGCTTTTGATGCACATGATCAGTCTGAGCACCATCACAAATTTAAAAATCCAACAAAAATTGCTGTTTTTACAGTTCCTGGCTGTGATAATTGGTATAACATACCTGCATGATTTCTTTAAAAAATTAGCGGTAAAATGAATAAGAACTACAGCCATTTAATATGTATGCCCCTCCCCTAGGCCAAAAAACAAATATACGTCCCTCCACAGTGCTTTTCACAATTATTTGAGATGCCTCATCCTTTTTACATCACCCCCTACCCCCTCATAAGTAACGAACAGTCCCTAAGTATTGTTGTCACATGAGCTTTATTCTACGTATATTTCTTCTATCGGGCGGCTCAGTGGGCAATAAACCGGCTGAGAGTCGGTAACGTTCCTCCAACAGTTCCTCACCTGTGCTGTTGGCCTGCAGAGAGACCTGTGGCTTCCTGGAGAGCTCCAGCAGCCGCCGCTGCCGGTCGATCTCCAGCTTTGAGCGGGAGATCTCTTCCTCGTACTCGGCTATGGTTCTCCCAAACACCCCGAAGATCTCCTCCGCGGCCTCGGTGAGCCGCTGATTGATGAGCAGCCTCAGCATCTCGATTTTAGACATGTTCGCAGCAGTCTGAGCGGCGGAGTGGAGAAAAAAACAGGACGACTTTACGCTGCGAGGCGTCGTTTGCTTCGCTGTTTACTGGATACACTTCCAGGTTAATGCCTGTGACGGTCTGTGAGCCTGTTCAGTGAGCTTTTTACCGTAGCCCGTTGTGGATATACCGCCACCTGCTGGACTGGATGTCTAAATACATTTTGTTGGATGGTTTTTAGTTTGAACTCTCTGTTCTTCGCTGGTTTTGTGAAGACCTCTCCATTGTTTAAAACACGTGGCTGACATTGGGCACAAGCACTAGCTGTGAACAGCATAAAAAGTAAATCATATGCTAACACTGCTGCATGTCAACTAGCATCACTGAAACACCTTGATAAATCACTGTTAATAACCTGCACACCAACAAACTAATGCTGTGCATAAAAAGTAAGCCTACATTACTTTTATGTTAATTAACTTATTAAATGACTAACAACTTGGAGCCATTGCTTTTGAGGGTATAAGGAAGGTAGGCCTACTGGCCGCGGCAGAAACTCTGGCACACACACACTGGCTGCGTCCGAAAGGCCAAGTAGTATGGATTGTAGTAGACCAAATTAGTATGTAGTATGTCCGAAACCGTAGTAGGGAGGAGTAGTATGCTACCACCCCTACTAAACACACCTACATTGTAGGATGATCAAAGAGCATGGATACCAGCCTTGCGTTCCAGTACCCATACTACCATATTATTTAGAATACCAGAAAAAGAATTAGTGTGTCCCAATACATAGTATGTCAGATGCAGTATGCCAAAAGTACCAGGATGTTCTACTACATCTGGTAATATTTCGCAGTATGCATGTCAGCATGCTTCTTTGGCCATTCTGACCCACAATCCTTTGCGCAGCGGAAGTTACGTCACACTTACTGAGCTGCGTGTACAACCAACACCCACACTTCCTTTCATACATGGTTTATTTAATTTGAGATACTAAGACACTACATATTAGGACTGCACTGGTCTGATTATATACTGTCACATGTCATACAGTTTTGCAAGAACACAGTTACAACATTCAACTTTATTGTGATTATAATATAATCAATGTTAGGGTTCAACTATGACTACAATATAGAAGATTCTACCAGTATAGGCAGTGGTGTAAGTGTGGTATAAATAATGAATGAATATGACTAAATATGAATACACTATGGGCCAGGTATGAGC